ACCCTCATTTTGTTAAATGTTGCTGTTGAACACTCTGCTTCAACAAAACGATCATTAATTCATCAGCGCTCATTTGTCAGGCTTTCTGCTCCTGCTTAATTTGTTATTTCATTAAACCAAAACATAACCTTTTAAGAGTTTTTATTTTTCAAAGTTGTGATGGAATTTAATAGAATTCCTTCTTGGTGGGTCTGACGGCCCGTATGTTCTCAAGTCCTGCAGCAGCAACAAGTTATATGCATTCTGCTACATCTTTGAAGGCCTATAATAAAGTAAATGCATCTGCAGACCTCTTCCAAATGTTATTCTCTCACTTTGTTTTTAGTATCTCTTTGAACATGCCAACAAAACAGCAGTTAGAATGGATTTAAGAGACTTAAGAGGAGAGCTAAGAACAGCTGTACCTGCTTGAGTTGATATGGTATGGTAACTCTAAAATGATGTAGCAGACACTCTAATCCAAATTGACTAGCTCACATCGGTTACAGCTAATTTTGCTTCTCTAAAAGGTAAAATAATCTTAGTTTTGCTCATATAATTACATGATTTTGGCACATGAAAGCACATTTTTGTGTTACAAGCTCTTTCATCATTTAGTTCCACTGTTACCGCACTTGGAGATGATTTGTATTGATGTATAATTGATCTATAATGTATTGATTCCTTGATGTGGCATTTTCATTTTGATTCTTTATCAGTGTTCTGTTTCATGATTAAAAAGAAATATCCCTTTTGTTTAACTATTAATGCAAAATAATTTGAGGCTTGCATGAGAAAAGAAGTGTTTCTAGGGCAGAATAACTAAATATGTAGTCTTTAAAAACAAGTTTTGTTGTTGCCAATTGAAGATAATTAAACTTTTATCAGGACAAAAGGAGTTTAGTTATCATTAAATCATGAGAAAAATAATTTATTATCTGGAGATAAAGTAATGGAAACACAATTTGGTAACACTTTACAATAAGGGTTGTTTTATTAATATTACTTAGAGCATTTTTAGTGCAATAAGCAAAGGATCACTTTATTAACATTCCTGATTTTGTTAAGTGTCCTTAAGGTAAGGACAAAAGGCCAAGGGGGAGTGTTTGCTTAGTAATAAATTACCTAATATTAACATTAATATTAAGCATTTGTTAAAGCCATACTATGCAACATTTTCATATTTTAAATCATTTTTTCAGCCAGTATGTGCTAACATGACCCTTTGCATAGTTAATGAAACTTAAATGGTAGAAGAAAGTAGTAGAGTGTGGAAAGTAGTCAGTGTGTCCTCCAGCAGTCTAAGCCTATAGCAGCATAACTACAGAGATAACTCTGGATAACCTAGCCTTTGGATGGAGGCAGGGCAAGGGAGAGCCATCTTTACCGACTGTACAGTCCACCTCCCTCTACTCCCCCACTTGTCCAGATCGAGGCTAACATCAGATTTTAACTATAGGCCCTATCAAATAAAAATATTTTAAGCCTAGTCTTGAAAGTAGACAAGGTGTCTGCCTCACGGACTAAAGCTGGGTGGGAGTTGGTTCCACAAGAGAGGAGCCTGATAGATAAAAGATCTGCCTCCCATCCTATTTTTAGACATTCTGGGAACCACCAGTAAACATGCAGTCTGAGAGCTAAGTGCTCTGTTAGGAACATATGGAACAATCAGGTCACTGGTGTATGAGGGAGCTTGATTATTAAGAGTGTAGCGGAATACAGTTGGTATATTCTTACACTTTATTAAGGTACAGAGATTAATCTTACCTTAGAATCAGAAGAGGTTGTTTTTACCACAGGGAATTTTATTCAAACACTTTGTATTGACTTAGAGACAAGAAAAGAGAAATATGGGACGTTTAGGAATATTTATTTTTATAATTATTCGAAACAATCACCAGGACTAACTCTCTAATGATGGATGAATATGGATTTGGATGCTGAAGTGTTGGTGTGTGTGTGTCAGTTCAGAATCTCCATCTGGTGCGAGGCGAGTCTGAGGACAAGATGTTGTTTTGACTAACTAACCACGAGGGACTTCAGGAGGAAGAGACATGAAACGCCATCTATGCTGAACTACGGAGACTCCCGTGTATGATCCGGAATGCCAGGTCCTCGGACCCTCCTTTGGTGCTGGAACTGATAGCACAGCGTCTGCAGCATGACAAACCAGTCTACGGATCGACTCCCGGTAGCAACGGCAGGTGTCAGCGTCACGTAGAGAGTTCAGCTTTTATTCTGAAGGAACCGTCGTCTTGTTGGTAAAACGACAGAATTTTCCAGCTTGACAGTTCTCAGCTTAAAAGTAGAAAATACAGCTGGCCAGTCTGCACTTCACTTAGCGATGATGGATTTGAGAGCTGGTCGAGTCCTTGGTTGGAACTGCGTCAAACCAAGTTGAACTACGTTGAATGCTTTGTTGGAACTGACCTAAAATGGCGTTGTTCTGTTTCATTAACTTAGTTGTTTATAATTCTTAGCAAATCAGAGTGGACAAATTAAGTAAACACCACAGAACTCTCCAATCCAATCCAATCCAATTTTATTTATAAAGCGCATTCACAAGGCATTACAACCAAACAAGGCGCTGTACACTAAAAATGTTAGATTAATTAAACCGGCGTTATATAAACATGTCGAACACAGATAAAAGATAAAAAGGAAATACAACAAAAATACCAAAAATAACAGCTAAAAATCAATAAGACACAGGGTGAATAAAAATTTGAAAAAACATTTTACAAAGAACCTCAATAATACGGAAGTCGATAATTGTGGAGTCCATTTTTAAACAGTGCAGATGTCAGTGAGGTTCATAATTATGTTGTATAAGCTAGGTTGAAGTAGTGAGTTTTCAGGCGTGATTTAAAAATGCTAGCTGTTGGTGCTTGCCTCACTAGCAGTGGTAATGCGTTCCACAGCTTCGGTGCACAGACAGAGAAAGCCCTTTCTCCACGGCTTTTTAAACGTGCATTGGGAACAGCTAGGAGGAGCTTATCTTCAGACCTGAGAGCACGCGGCGGGTTGTAGTAATGGACAAGTTCACACAGATATGGAGGAGCTTGATGGTTCAAGGATTTGTAAGTGAGAAGCATAATTTTGAAGTTTATCCTGAACTGCACGGGCAACCAGTGGAGAGATTTCAGAATTGGAGAAATGTGTTGTCTTCTGTCAGCTCCGCCCCGCAACAGAGAGGAAATCCTGATTGGATGAGTGAACAATGTGTCATGTGTTTATCTTATGTGGATCAGGGTGTCTAGCTCAGTTAGTCCTGTTATTCATTAAAACACATAAATCATAACATTGTGATTTCACAGATCAGTCACCTGATTATTATTGACCAACAGTTGTTTTGATTAGCTTTATTAGAAATAAAGTTCTTTGATTAACTAATGAAAAGCGTTCTTCGTCCTTCTTCTGTCTTCTTTGCTAGAATGTAAACAACAGAAGCAAGCGCACGACCTTGGCAATTTATGCACGCTGTCACTGTGTCAAAGGGCAGCTGTTAAGGGCAGAAATGGCATATTCATAACGCTACAAGAGCTTTACATGTGAGAAGGAGGATCTGAAAATCTATTCTGAATTTAAGAGGCAGCCAATGTAGGGAAACTATGACAAGAGAGATATGTTCTCCCTTTTTAATTCTCATCAGAACTCTAGCTGCAGCGTTTTGGACAAGGTGAAGCAAGCCAAAACTGCCTAGTATATCTTTAATAATAATGAGTAATAATATGAATTATTATAAATTAAGGTTTAAAAAAGTTATAGTTAATGGAATATTTGCTTTACTGATAAGACATTTTAATTATACTTTAAAAAGTATTAAACAACTGCCGAGAATTTGCTTCCAAATGTCTTGTATTTTCTTTTTTCTAATTTACAGAACGTGGGTGTGATTCCTGTAGGTTTATAGAGCAGCTTACTTTAACTTATCTGTAAATCTACATTTCCGTAATGTTTTCACTTCACATCACTCAGGTTTTACTCTCTCTGACACTTCGGCGTTGCTTTCTGCTTGGGTTAATGGGACCAGACGTGGAAGAGCCAGATTCCTGCGCAGCAATCTGTTGCTGTCGTTCTTGGTTTGCCCGTGGAACATTTACCTTCAGTCTCTTTCCAAAAGCAAACTGTTTCTATGACTCATTATCTTCTCATCCAAGAAAAGCTGTTATTTCGACACCAACGTGTGCGCAGTTAGATTTTTTAATAACAACATTTATAAGGAGAAGCATAAATGACAGGTCATCTGTAAACAGTAAAGCAGTTTTTCATGAACGGTTCCAATGAAAGGAGTTATTTGCCCTTCTGGATGATTAGTCTCTATATAATTACTGTTCAGTGTTTAGAGACTGTTTGTTATGGGTTTATTTGTTAGCTAAGTTAAGTCGGCTGTAATAAATTCAGCTGAACCTTTTTCTTAAGAAGGAAACAAGAACAAATGGCCTGCTCTTTTTCTCATGAATAAGACATGAAGACTATTAGAAATAAAGGCTGTTTTTCTAAACTTCACGTGCGCTCGTTCTGCTTTTGGACTTCCTGTCTTCTCAGTTGCTGATGCACGTGTCCTCCTTGGAGAACTAAATAGTAGTGATGTTGGTATTGTAATTGTGTTGTCTGGCTTTGAGCTAAAGGTGGAAAAATTTCTTTGACTTGCAAATATTTTAGACATAATTGGGATAAATGGCTTATGGGAAATATCCCTGCATGGCATTCAGAGCATCCTCCTTGTTCTCCTCTGTAAAGGTTAACACTGTCTGCTCTTAGTGAGGGAGTCAGTGGACATAACTGTGTCTTTTGGTGACAGAGAAGGGTTGGTGGTATTCCTCCCTGTTTTACTCAGACGGAGGGGGGACTATGAGTCAAGAAGTCGGATTTTATTCAGGTGGGGAATCAAACATGCAGCGAAGAGAATTTTTTAAGTTTGGGCAAAGGAAGTTTGCAACAAATCGAAATGATTAATGTAGCTGGGTTGGCTGTTTGTGTCTCCATTAAAATATCTCTCCTTTCTCCTCATCTCACAGGTACGGAGACATGGTCCCCAAGACAATTGCAGGGAAGATCTTTGGTTCAATCTGCTCTCTGAGCGGGGTCCTGGTAATTGCCCTCCCTGTCCCTGTCATTGTGTCCAACTTCAGCCGCATCTATCACCAGAATCAGAGAGCAGACAAACGACGGGCACAGAAGGTTCAGGTAAGCGCCGTTTTATTTCACGATGGGCCTCAGACCAGCAGGGAATGCTGATGTTTCTCTCCACCGTTGGGAGAGAATATCAGAATAAAACTATTAACATTAGATTTAAATTAATAACAGACCTGAAGCAGCTGCTCTTTCCTGTCAGCTTTTAAAGCATTTACAAGGAACACTTGAAACATTTCAATATGGTGCAAAAGTTCATTTATTTCAGCAATTCAACTTAAAAGGGAAAGCTAATGTATGTCTATTTTTAGCCTTTATTTGTTAATGATGAAAGCATTGTACTGGTCTGTCGTAGTGAAGAGGAAGCTGAGTCAGATCGATCTACGTTCCTACCCTCACCTATGGTCAGCCATCCTCTGGAGTTGAGGATGGGCACACTCTAAGAGATAAGGAGAGAAGCTCAGTCATCTGGGAGGGGCTCAGAGTAGATCCGCTGCTCCTCTACATTGAGATGAGCCAGTTGAGGTGGCTCAGGCATCTGGTTAGGCTGCCTAATGGATACCTCCCTGGTGAGGTTTTCCAGGCACTTCCAACTGGGAGGAGACCTAAAGGAAGGCTCAGGACATGCTGGAGGAACTATGTCTCTCGTCTGGCCAAGGAATGCTTTGCGATTCTCCCGGAGGTGGTGGCCCAAGTTGCTAGGGAGAGGGAAGTCTGGGACTCTATGCTCAGACCTAACCCTGGATAAGCAGACAAAAATAGGTGGATTGATGGATGTTGATTTGTTATAATTGTGAAGATTATGGTTTATGAAAACCTCAAATAAAAAATCTCAGGCAATTAGAATATTAAAAACTAACTTTAACCCACTTCAATATTCTCGGCTTCTCTTCTAGGCTCAGCCTTCAATCTAAGATGAATTACTGAAATAAATAGACTCTTGAATAATGTTCATATTTTTTGAGTTTCACTTGTACTTTAAGCTGCTTAGTGTCAATCTGAGTGATCTTTTCAGGTTACTCACCCCATAAATGTTAATTAATAATTATTAAAATATCAGTGCATCATCTGGTCACACTTTTCACAAATTGACATGACACACACACACACACACACACACACATTTCTTTTAAGGATTTTCTGGCGGTAACAGAACCAAGCTGCCCTGGAAGGTGAGCTGAGGTCTTAGATAGTCATTGGCCTCATCAGAAATTCTACTTCTGATTCACCAATTCTACCTTTTTGTAACCTCTATATGCTGCTGCCTTCAAAGGTTGATCTGAAAGGACCTAAGGTTGAAAATGTGTGCCAAATAGACCTGTTTCAACATTTTCAGAGGTCTTACTGCATTGCTCAATCAGCCTGTGGAAATCTTTCCCTCAGGAGCCACAGGGCTTTGAAATAAATCGGTGCAAAAGGAAACATGACTACAATCATGGCTGTGTGTTCAACAGCAAAAGGTACTGGCTCTGTGCTCTTAGATGACTCCTCTGTGGAGTCTTTTTTCTTTGTCCTGATCTCATAACAGGTGACTCTTCATTGGCTGATGTCTGCACAGATCATGATCTTGCTTCTGCACTTACTGAAGCCAGATTCATTAATGCCAATGACATCATTCTTAAATGTCTAATTTGGACTTTTGGACTGCTTCTCAACAATGGCTACAGACCAACAGCTCTGGGAGGAACTGGAATTGTGTTTATTTATTTTTATTTCCACTGACTCAAAGCCAAAAAATGACAGAAGTACCACAGTAACTGAATCAGTTTTTGAACTTTTTTCATTTACGGTAACTGTTAAATCTTAACCTTGTACGGGTCGAGAGGTAGTTAGGATGCCTCCTGAGTGTTTCCCTGGTGAGGCTTGTCCAACTGGGAGGAGACCTAAAGGAAGACTCAGTACACGCTTAAGGGACTATGTTTCTCAGATGGCCAGGGAACGCCTTAGGATTCCCCAAAGGAGCAGGCTCAAGTGGCTGGGGAGAGGGAAGTTTGGGCCTCCATGCTTAGGCTACTGCCCCCGCGACCCCCGATAAGCAACCGAAAATGGATGGATGGAACCTTAACTTTGTGCACTGCTCAGTGTTAAAGTCAGACACCTAAACAAAGTTACGTTTGAGTATTTATTATGCAGTTGTTATTTTACGTAATAATACGTTTAAATTGAATTGTGCAACAGTCTGAATCGAGCATTTTTCCATCTATTTGCTATCAGATGCTAATGCACGAAATAGAGGTAGAAGACTATTTTCACATTCAGCCTGCATGTTAAACTCAGAGTAACTGATTGTTTTCAAAGATAATAACTTTAAAACAGTTGGTCAGTAAACCTGCTCTTTAAAATTCCTATGGAAAATTCTAGAAGCCAAAGTTACTCTGAGGTATTAATATTCCCAGAGCAGATATGCAATGCCATAGGTTACTCTTGGGTATGCCACTCAGGAGAATCTTCTATAGATGTCCAAACCGTCTCAGTTGCTTTCTTTCTCTCTTAAACTAAATCCAACAGTTTCCAGGATTATCTTATTCCATCCACTGGCGTCCATTCTCCCGTTCATGCAGTCACTTCCTCAGGAGCGCATAGTTAGAACAAATTGACTGGAAAATTGAAACCTTTGCCTTGGATTACACATTTTGTGGTCAAATCTGTGGGATTAAGTAAATCTTACAATTATTCATAAAGAGATTACCTGCTTGTGAAATTCCACTAACACCTAATAGAAAAGATAAGCATGAGCCAAAAGGATTTTCCCTCATCGGGTATCATTTGATTATTTCTATAATGTGTGTTAAAGAGACTTAGTGAAGCCAGCAGCTGATCAGGAAATAACAGCAAACTCGAACATATGAATTTAAGTCTCTTATTTAAAATCTGACAGAAACAGGATTTTACCTCGAATTTCTTGTCATCAGAAGAAGAAAAAAAATTATATTCTTCAATAGATTCAGATGTACAAAAACTAGATTGTTTATTCCTCCAAATCTTTTAATTTTTCTGCATGTTTAAATATAAAAGTCTTGTATGAAATATTGGGTATCCCTGGAAAAAACTAGATGCTTTTAATCATTCAACCTTATTTCAGCTTCAACAATAAAATCATATTAGTAATAAAATGAGCCGTTTCAATGTGTTTTTATTTAAAGTGGTAAAATTATTTCTTTCTGGACAATAAATATCCCAAATTTCAAAGTTTCCTTTTAGATCACTTTGGCTGCGTCCCAGATCTGAACAGTAGCATCAGCTGGCACACATATAAAACTCAACTGGTAATCATAGTTTGAGGGCAAGACTGACACTTTTTGTCCTCCTGAGATAGATTGTGTGCTTGCTCAGAGCTGGCAGATATGCACACAATGGCACATATTTTCAGAGTCCATTCCTTTCTCTCATCACTGTCTTTCACACCTCTCCTCGCGAGGCATTTTTCACTTGCTCTTTTCTTCTCTATTCTTTTTTTTTTGTTGCTTACACTCCGTCTCTCATCCGTGCTCCTCTGCCTCCGTCTAATGCTACAACCCCTGCCTTTGCCCCAACTCTGTCTCACCTTTCCTATGATTAATGCCATCCATCTCTGAGCATGTTCTCCAGTCGCAGTTTAAATCTGCTTAAAGTCCCACAACTGTGCCCTGACCGCCGCCAAGCCTTAACTAGCCGTAACCTTGTCTGCCGAGCAAGAATCTTTTTGTAACACAGCCAAATGTGCGGGGAGGAGCAGACACAAGAGAGAGGCGCCCGAAGGAGGATTGGAAAGTTGGGGTAATTGTTTGGATGGAAAACGAGATAAAGAGTAAAGATGGGGGGTAGAGGAGAAGTGAGGAGAAGGTGACAGAGAAAGGCATGAGAGGAAGAGTGAGCAAAGGAAGCAGCAGAAGCGGAGAGAGGAGGTAGAGCTGGAGGCGATGTGTGTCCTGATGTTGTGCTCCTTCCTGAAATAGCTCTGATGAGGTGCTGGCTGGAAGGAGAGGGTATGTCCTGTTTGTTTGTATGTTTATGTGCAGCTGTTAATTTAAAAACCACATCTGTGTGGATGTTCATATGTCCGTGTTCAGCGTGCACAGTGTTTTGTTTTGTTTTACCCTTGCTCTGCCTCACCTCGGTGTTTTTACTATAACTTTTGTACAAAGCTCAGAAGATTTCTCAGCACCAGGATCGAACCCTTCATTAACCAGATGTAAACGACTCTCATCAGGACCTCAGAGCATCTGCAGCTTGCCTGCAGTGATGTCAGCAATTTATTCAGATAACCAATTATTTGCTTTTCCATCTTTCATACCACCGTGACCAAATGACCTTATCACTGGCTCCATGATTATTCCACACCTGGATGCTTTGATCCTCAAAAGAGTTATTACAGAGGTTAAATGAGGATTTAAGTGTCATGGATAATGATAAATTTGCAAACAATCCCCATCTCACCCTGAGCAGGTGGTCTCATACCTCCTAGCTCTGGTCTTTTACAAGAAGCCTGAAGCTTGAGAGTTCTGCGCAGTATTCTTGTATTGCTAGAACTGCACTTTTCTGGACTGACTTTTAGTTAGTCTGACTGAGACAAATTTGTAAACCTGGTCAGAACTGATCTCAGCTTCTCCTTACTGATGTTGTTCAGAGTGCTACCTACAGCAAGTATTCGTTCACCATTTTTCCACTGAACCTCACTTCAGATGATCGAAAGATTTCTGCAAAATTGCAAATAGTGAAAAGGTAACACGTAATTGCTGGTAGTATTTTCTGAGCTTAACTTATGTTTATTTGTAGAAATGAAACTGATGTCTCAGTATGGCTGTGCAGTGGCGCAGTGGTTAGAGCTGTTGCCTTGCAGCAAGAAGGTCCTGGGTTCGCTTCCCAGCCTGGGATCTTTCTGCATGGAGTTTGCATGTTCTCCCTGTGCATGCGTGGGTTCTCTCCGGGTGCTCCGGCTTCCTCCCACAGCCCAAAAACATGACTGTTAGGTTGATTGGTCTGTCTAAATTGTCCTTAGGTGTGAGTGTGTGTGTGTGCATGATTGTTTGTCCTGTGTGTCTCTGTGTTGCACTGCGATGGACTGGCACTCTGTC